TCAAAAATTCTGAAGAGCAGTGAAACAATTGTGAAATCACTTAAGTATAGGCCAGATCGATAATCAATGCTTTGCCAAAGACCACATTTGTCGATAACATGTCGAAATGAGCTTGCTTTTGATAATAGAGTATTTGTCATGTTGTTCTTAGCAATAACTTCCCATCAGTTTGGCTTTTTTGATTTAAACTGAAACCTACCATTAGCATTGTAAGTTACCCGATGAGCGATGTCAATGGCAACATGTATTATTAATTTTTATTTCAGAATGTTGCTGATATGTCTCATTGCACAACGCTGGTATTGGATGAAGCTGACAAGCTTCTTTCTCAAGATTTCCAAGGTATTTTAGATCGTGTCATCAAATTTCTGCCACCTGATCGTCAGATTATGCTTTATTCGGCAACATTTCCATTGACGGTGGCAACATTTATGCAAAAGCATATGAGAAACCCATACGAAATTAACCTGATGGAAGAATTGACACTAGTCGGTGTTACGCAGTATTATGCCTATGTACAAGAAAAACAAAAAGTTCACTGTTTGAATACATTGTTTCGCAAGGTCTGTTGCATTTTTATGTATTCAAAGCCGCATTCGAAATTTTAATGGAAATATAAAACAGTAGCTACATTTACGGAAACTTACTTGATCTGAATTGACACACTGTTCGCATTTCCTGAATTCAGTGCTCTAAGTTTATGCTGTTCGACTGCGTAATCAGTTATGGATGAACATAGATATTTTTTTTTTAAATATTTTAGTTTTTTTATCATTTGAAAATTTCCAGCTTCAAATCAACCAATCCATAATTTTTTGTAATTCAACACAACGAGTGGAACTTTTGGCAAAGAAAATCACAGAAATAGGCTATTCCTGCTATTATATCCATTCACGCATGGCACAGGGTCATCGTAATCGGGTTTTTCATGATTTTCGCAAAGGGGCTTGTCGCAACTTGGTTTGCTCTGATTTGCTTACTAGAGGTATTGATATTCAGGCCGTGAATGTAGTCATCAATTTTGATTTTCCACGCAACGCCGAAACATACTTGCATCGCATTGGCCGGTATTTATTTTGCTATTTTTTGATTTTCAAAATATTGGTTTTTCATAAACTAAGGATTTCGATATTATATCTTATTGATCTTATTTGATTGGCTTGTGCAAGTGTAATTCTCCTTCTAAAATTGGTTCTTTTATTGTTCTAGCACATTATTCCATCCCATTCATTCTGGAGAGAACAAGTTAAGTAATAGACTCTTTATTATCACTTGATTAGATATTTCTGATTTCATAAGATATATTTTAAATGTGTTTTATATTCTACAGTTTTGATTACATTTTGATTGCTGTATCATGATAAGGATGGTTGGAATGACTTGATATATTCAGCTCCGGTCGATTCGGACATCTTGGCATTGCGATCAATCTTATCACCTATGAGGATCGCTTTACTCTTCGACGTATCGAAGCTGAGCTGAGGACTCGCATTGCTCCAATTCCAAAGGTTCATTATTATGTTTCTAGATATTTTTTTCAAGTATTTTTTTTTACATTAACGCAAACACTTCGTTTGTTCTTCTTTTCAGAAATGTTCGTTCCAAGATTTTTGTTTTAAATTAATTAGTGACAAAAATTCGTGTTCTGAACAGATGTAAATTAAGCAGTGTTGCCGTTTTCAGTCGGTCGATCCAAAACTATATGTCGCCGAATATCAGATCGTTGACGAGAATGGTAGCGAAATGGTTGGATCTTCTAAGGAAACATCTGCGTAGACGGTAAAATAGAAATATTATTGAAAAGTCGTAACTTTCGATTTGTTGATCTTTATTGAAGAAGTAAAGAAAATTGGTGCTTTAACTTGAACAATTAAATAAATGATTTTGTAGAAAATGCAAAAAAACATTGCTATCAGTTCCATGTAGTGAGAGAAACATCAGTTCATAAGCAAAACAATCTTGGGTCGACTATACAATTGTATCTGAATATTTTAGAAATCGAAGTGAAAGGCAATTGAGAAAAATAATGTTGCGAAATATTTTCTCTTTTAACAAACAATTTTGAAGTTAATCTATTCAGTGTAAAATTTATCTATTTCAGATTTCGTGAAGGTGTTGCTTTTTTCTCGTTTTTATTTTGATCTCTTTATTTTCGATTTATTGTGTTATTTTATCTTACCATTGCTATATGTAAGTTTTTCTTTTTATTCATTTATTTTCGACTTCTATATAGGTTTTTGCAGTGCTAGTTGCATTCAAAAAAATAGTGAATGTAAGCAGTTACATGTTTCCTAAATTAAAAAAATTTGGGAAGTGAATTTGCACGTGAAAAGCTATTGGTGATGAATCTCGGTAAAGAAGTGGGTTGCATCAAAAAGCTATTTTTCCGATCCAGTGTTAAAAATGCCACTATCAATTAATTTTGGTGGATCTATCTATTCTTAAAATAGTTCCTTCATATGATGAAGTTGAACCTTTTAGTGTAATTCGACCCTTAACATTCTTCATAATATACGAGTATTTGTTTCAGGTCCATATTTCAGTCATTACGCAGACTCGTTTTAAGCGTGAAAACCGGTTGTATGTGCATATAGTTTTGTTATTTAACTCTTTTTTTGAATTTTAGCCTGTCTAATATTTTGTTTTTTATTCCATAATTTTTACTCGTTTAATTTCTGTTAATGACTATGTTCATTATCATGTTTTAATTATACATTAGTTTATTATATTCGATAACTTCGGGTGCTATTCTCTGATATCAAATTCCTTTTTCTTTAAAAATATACAATGGAAGTTTTTGTGCCCTCAATCTTTCCCTAGAATTTTTTAGCTGCTAAGAATGATTATAATATGTAAAAGAACTGAAAAATTGTAATTTTAAGAAAAATCCACCTAATCACACTTTTAAAGGTGTAAAGCCTTTATTCCATGTAGCCTTTTTGATTGCCTCAGTGCAGCATGTTTTAACAAATATAAACAGTATTGAAACAGGAACCAATCTACCAGAATTGGATATTTCCATGTTCAGGTGAGCAGTTTTACCGAGTTTTTTCTTTTATTTTACTAATTTAAGTTTTAAAGATCTTCAAATGTGTTAATTATGATCCAATTTGATATCTTAAGATTTGCTACAAAAGTCCATTAATTTAGAAGTTTTTTAGTACTTGGATCTATCACCAAAAATCCTTAATAGTTTTGTGCCTTTCTTATGGTATGCTTTGTTTTACCACTTTTTAGTTTCGTATTTTTTCAGGTTGTTTGGTTATGTTCTATGCTGTGAATGCCGTGAGCCGTTTACCATCCCCGGCTCTTGTCAAATAGTTTTCTTAGTCATACGGCATTTTGTCTTTTGTAAATCTTTATTTTATATTTTTACTTCGTTGTTTTTTAATTGTTCAATGTTAACTTAGGTATATAATCGCACAATTAAAGTAGAAGATCTTTTATTCCTGGAAGTTATGGATTTATCTCGTTTATTTTTATCTCGTCTCATATCAGTGGCTGATTTGTTTGATCCAGGTAGAAGAAAGATTTTCTGTTAGAGTGTGTTATGTTGACTGGCATGATTGTATAACGTCCGACAAATATACAGTAGCAACTGTTTTTACGAATTAAATCAAAAAGGAAGAATTGAAATTTCTGTTGAAAATTTCTCTTTTTTTAAAAAAGGAACCATTTTTTGTCTTTTTTCTTGTTTCTTGTTCCATTTATTGAGCCGCAAGTCTCGATATCTGTGTATTATGGTTTTACGAAAATGCGGCTTACAAAATTTTTTGTTTTATCCAACATTTTACATGGAAGTAGTCGCTCTCTCTCTAGGTATGATTTCAAGTTCGGAATTTTCTCGTGTTTGCCCTTTTCCTTTCATTCCATCGCCATCTTCCGATGTTTGTTTTCTCTTTTAATCGTAGTTTTCCGACCTTTTTCTTATGTCCCTTCTCCTCCTTTCACCTTTCACAATCATCGCCTGAATGAAAATGAAGTATTTATGGATTACTTGAGTTTCTCTTTTTTGACATTGTTCTCTTCGATTTCATTATGAACCTCGCTTTGTTCAAGTAATGTATTTGTCAACTGATGAAAAATTGAGGTTAAAAAAAAATGTAGCGCCCGCGTTCATTCACAGTTTTTTGTAAGTGTTTGATGGTAACAAATAAATTATGCGCTACAAACGTCTTTAAGCCATTCCACTGATCTATTAGATTATGACAGTAACAACAACTGTTTTTTAAGTACGGAATTTTGGCATTAATACCTTGTATTATATAGAGGTGTTATCCTCATATCATCCAGAATTTCGTCATACTGCATTTTTATAACTGTGCGTCTAGTTCAATAGAATTTTGGCATTTCCATGTATACAGCACTGTCGCATGATCTCGAAAAAATCTTAACGCTTACTCAAAAAAAGGAAGCATCGTGAGATTCTTCCGAGCGTATGAGAGGTTTTTTCTTGAAAAGCTACAAAATTTGGAAGAATGAGGGGATGAAAAAAATGAAGAGATCCTAATTGACAGATGATTAGTTGCTGGTCAATTTTTGGACCATTTTTTATTATTTGATGGTGAGTAAGAAAGTCGTTGCAAGCTAGATATAGTCATAGGTCATAAGGTTTTTAGGAAATGATGGTTCCGCAAAATCTTGATCCTTTATTATTTGGAATGCCTGCAGGTTCCCTAAGGTCCGTATTTGAAACTTGTCAATATGTGACATCCACACATTAATTTTAACTTCGAAACAAATTGAGAAAATTAGAAGTTAAAAATGGACGAAAATAATGCAGAATTAACAGAAACCAGTAATCGTAGGCAAATTGTATAACACCACAAAATTTGCCTTATTTGGAGTCAGTTTTATGCCTACTGTTGACTTTATGGAGAGCTTCACCTCCACAGTTTTTGTTAATGGAAAACCGTTCTACGCAGCTGAAGAAAATAACCCTGCATTCATGTTGAGCAATTAGAAAATAAAACAACAAGCAAACGTAGGAAATAGCAACTTCACTTCAGAAATCTTTGATAGGAATCAATTACTCGTTTCCGGATATTCGGCAGTAGTTTGATGTGATCGTCGACACAAGAACATGCACAACTGGAATGGATATTTTGATGTCCCGCAAAATTTTTATTGATAGAGAATAACCAAAAATTTGAGAACTGAAAAATTCGAAATTTGCAAAGAAAGTCAAACACAGAAATTAGTTACTTTAAAAGTTGTTCATCAAATTTCTTGCTTTGTATTTCAGTATACTTTGCGGGATCTGGACCAAATTTCTGCGTTGCTTTATCAAAACATGTCATTCCACAACGATTCAACTGTGCCTTAAAATGGATTGAAATTCTTTCATTCTGATAATCTTGAGATAAATAAAATTAAAAATTCCGTATCAGTTCCGCACTTCTTTTTTCTAAGAAGTAATCAAAGTTTATTGCGGCTAATACCAATAAATCGCATTTTTCCACAATAGTACGTGACCATTGGAAGATCAGTTAACGTTAATTAGCATTAGTTAGTGAAGAAACGAAGTGCTACTCCCCCTCCTTTTTTTCTGCCCTCACCTTGAAGATTTTTATTGTAAAGGATTTTTCTTTTGCTACTTTTGTTAAGTCTTTTTATAACACCGTTGAAACTTCTAATATTCATATATATCAAATTCACTAAACCCGGCCTGCCTAAATCATTATGATTTTATCCAATCTATAACTTTATACTATTACCTGTAAATCATCAAGTTCTTTTTGCAAAATACTAGTTGCATTGTTGATAGGTTTACTGCACCCTTCAACACAAGTCTCCACAACATCTCGATTCACACTTCTATCGTAGCAATTCGAAGAGCAAATGAACATTTTCTTATGTATTTCTCTCAAATAACTGAAAAAGAGGTTTTTTTCTCTTAAATTTATATTCTTAATTTTAAAAATACTATAAGAAAAATAATAATAAATTATTCTATCATCAATAATTACCGATCAATTAAGAACAGTTGCATTCATCTCAAAAGAAACCCGAAAGAGTTCAAATTTCAATTTATCTCTGGTCGATGAATAATAGAATCCCATATTTCAGATACCTACCAACAAACTATGAACGCTTTACTATCCTAAAGTAAAACAGAAACTTGGAAGAGAGTTTAAACTGCTTCAATAAAAAATTCTTTAAAAAAAAAAAACGTTTTGATATTTTTCGAAATTTTCATTTTGCTGAACGTATAAACTAATGAATTTTTTTTTCTGTAAAATATAGAAATGTGCAAGAATTCTCACCAAAAGGTATACTGAAATACAACGCAAGAAGTCTGATGAATAACTTTTAAATTAACTAATTTCTGTGTTTGACTTTCCTTGCAAATTGCTACCATGAATATTTTTGTACAATATAAATGTGCATGTTGTGATAGAGCTTTTCTCAGAAATATCACATGCAGATATTTCATCGGATATCTGAATGTTATCATTATTGTTATAATGTTTACACTCTATCAAACATATTGCATGTTAATATAATTCTTATGGATTGTACAAAGAGCTTTTTAGTATTTGATCACATGCGCAGAGGCGTTAATTAATTCATTATTGGTAAATATATAAACGTATTTGCCAACTGAATAAAAGTATTAATATATAAACTGCATATATTATAGGAGTATAAATAACATATATATATATATATGTATATATATAACCTCTTATCGATATCATCAATTAATGCATCTACTGCTTCTTTCATACGTTTCTCCGGAAAATTCATGACGTTAAAATCTACACGTGCGATTTGTGGTATACGACGTTAAAGGTTTCGTAAGGATATTAGCCTGAAAAATTTACGCTATCGCAGCATTATACAATCATTGATAATAATATGTAACGTACAGAAACAGTAGGAAGAAGCTAGTGAAATAATTATGGGCCGTATGTTGTGCCGTTAAATTTAAATTTTTAGATTTTATCACCATGTCAAAGTTAGAATTCAGACGTTAGTTGCGCGGTTAATTGGGTTGTTATTCATTTTATTCTTACGGTTTTATTCTTCTATTCTGCAATTTCGAAATTTCAAAATATTGATTTTTTGAAAAACAGAATTATTTGAATCGAAATGATATGACCAAATAAGAAATTGTAACAAAAAGAAAATGGAAATTTCAGGGATATATTGGAAATGGAAACGAATGACTTTAAAGCTCCGTTGACGGAAGAAAAGGACGTGAAAGTAATTATTCTAGTATTAGTTTCCAAAAAGGCACAAAAATGCTCGGATTGAAGCAAGTGAAAGCATTTTTCTTATTTTACAGGATACGGTGAAGGATGTTATTGCGCCGGTAATATCCATAACTCAACCTAATTTGGAATATGTTCCACCGCCATTTGCTGTTGAGCCATCGAATGACATTCACTATGGCTTTGAAATTATCAAAAATGGTACTATAATTGATAGGATAAATTTCGAGAAACGAAAAGCTGGAACGTTTGTAGTCATCGGTCGCTTACCATCGTGTGACATACAATTGGAGCATCCGACTATTTCAAGGTATTTTCCTGGAAATTCATTTTACTCAGTAAACTTACAGCAAAACCACTTGATTAGCATTTATATGTTTATCAAATGCTATGTACACTATCAGAAAGCTTTGATTTTCCTGATATTAGAAGACACTTTTGTATCACGATATTATTCAATTCTCTCAAACATAATAGATATTGCAGTGGAATATCCAGTGCGAATTTTTTGAGACGCTTATTTTGAAAGTTCTTTTCCGAGTTTACATTTTTAACGTATGTAGGTATCATTGTATACTTCAATATGGCGATGATTTAATGAATCGAACTGGTAAAGGATGGCATATTTATGATTTGGGTAGCACGCATGGTACTAGACTAAATAAAAAGAGAATTCCACCAAAACAGTTCATCAGAATACGTGTCGGACACGTAATGCAGTTTGGAGGTGTGCTTTATTTGTTTCTTTTGGGAACTTCTGAAATGTTGCGATTTTAATCATTGAACCTGTTCTTCAGCGTTTTATTTTAGGAAAATAATGACGAACTGTATTGTAAGGGCAGTTTTATTTTCTATTACTTAACAATTTAGCTTCATTTGTTGGATTTGACTTGTTTGACTTAGAAGTCCAACTTTCGCCTTCATTCCAATAGAATTTTTTTCAAAGGAAGTAGCAGAATTTTGATTTTATTTGGTCCAAACTCGGATACTGAGGAGGAATGGGAATATTCTCCAACTGAAATGAGGCGATTAATTGAGCAGAAGAAACTTTATGATAAAATACAAAGAGAGAAGGAGGAGGCATCAAAAAGCGAGAAAGAGAGTGATGGCATTATGTGGGGAATAGGTTCGTTGTT